AATTCTCTTTGGAGAGAAGAAATGCGGAAAGAGACAACTCACTTACACTTTTACATCTTTCTGTATCATGAGTTTTCTGAAAAGAGTATACATTTGTAATGATTTAAAAACAGAGAAGACAACAGATAGCAGGAATCATTCAAAAAAACTGATAAAGTGGACTTCAAAATTTTAAACTACTGATTATTAAAAGGCACAGCCAAAAAAAAATTTAAGCCCCAGATTGGGAAAAAATATTCCCAACATATGACAAAAGACATGAACTCAAATACATAAAGAACTCCTACAATCAATAATAAAGAGACAATGCAATTTTTTAAGTGGGCAGAAGACTTAACAGACACTTCAGAAGAGGCCAATAAGCACATAAGCTCTCCTCACCATTAGCCATCAGGGAAATGCTCACTGAACCCACAACAAGAGGCCCCTACACAGCAGCAACAACGATGCAGACAGACAACACCGGAAGCTGGAGAGGGTATGAGCAACTGAACACTGGTAGCAGTGCAGAACGCACAGCCACGTTGGAAAACTGGCAGTGTCTTTAACAGTCAATCCTACAACTACCCTACGGGCGATTCCACTCCTAGGTGTTTACGCAGAAGAAATGAAAATGTACGTCCACACAGCCTGGTCCAAGAATGAGCGCCCCCCTGCCCCAGATGTGCATAAGGAGAATGGCTAGACGGTGGTGGAGTCACACAACAACACTACTCAAGAATAGAAAGGAACAAACCACTGACACACACTGTTTGCATGTGCTGAATTTTAAATGGTTATGCTGAGTTAAAGAAGCTGGATGCAAAAAAAATATTTTATATTTATATTTATATATATATATTTTTATAAATATATATAAAATCTCATTTGTATGAAATTCTACAACAGACAGAAAGAAGTAACCCATAGTTATAGAAATCAGTATTGCTGGTGGGGAGAGTACATGCCACCTCTGGGAGCTAAGAGAGCCCCCAGCTGACAGCCAGCCAGCAAGAAAACCAGGACATCAATCCTAAAACCAAAAGAACTGAATTCTGCCACAACCACACAAGCTTGCAAGAGTACCCAGAGCTCTGGAAGAGAACTACAGCCCAACACACAACTGCAGCCTCCAGCCCTGAGCAGAGGACCCAGCCAGGCCATGCCTGCATCCCTCACCCACGGAAACTGTGAAGTAACAACTGGTATTGTTTTAAGCCACTAGATTTGCAGTAATTTATTATACAGTAAATAGAAAACTAACATAAACGTCACACAAAAAAAAGCTTTGGAACTTAATGATACTTTAGCAAAAAAAATAGAAATTATGGATGAATCCTGAGGACATTATGCTAAGTGAAATAAGCCAGCCACAAAAAGACAAATGCTGTATGATTCCAGTTACACGAGGTATCTACAGAAGTTAAATTCATAGAAACAGTGACAGAGGGTACAGCTCAAGTGGTAGAGCGCATGTTTAGCATGCACAAGGTCCTGGGTTCATTTCCCAGTACCTCCTCCAAACATAAATAAATAAACCCAACCCCCCCAATAAATAAATAAATTCACAGAAAACAGGAAACAGAATGGGGCTTGCCAGGGGCCAAGGGGAGGGTGGGAACTGAAGAGTTATTTAACAGGTACAGTGTTTTAGTTTTGGAAGATGAAAAACTTCTAGAGATCTATTGCACAACAATGTAAATATATTTGAAACTACTGAATTGTACATTTAAAAATGGTTAAGATGGTAAATTTGGGGCTTTTTAACCACAATTTAAAAAGAATAGAAATTAACATATTTCCCCTGTTTGGTCAAAATACAAATCATTTTTTTTAATTTATGTGGGGAGAGGGAGGTAATCACATCATTTATTTATTCATTAAATGGAGGCACTGGGGATTGAACCCAGGACCTCATGCTTGCCAAGCATGCGCTCTACCCCTGAGCTATACCCTCCCCCAATAATACAAATCATGTTTAAATGGACAGAATAAGTGAATTTAAAACACACACAACCTACTCATCCTAAGAACAAAGAATCAACTTTCCCCATGTAGCCTATGCCAGCCTCTGTGAAGAACACAAATGCCACAACACCAATGTGGTGACTGAGACACTACAGACTGGAACAACCCCAAGGAGCGACCATGACCGTCCTGCAGCACGCGGGCTTTTGAGATAGAAGAGTCTGGCAAGGGTCTCAGGTGAAGGCAGCTGGAGAACCGAGCTTGGCATTAACGTGACTCATGACAGCAAGGCGGTTCAAAGCTAGAAACATGCAAGCAAAAAGACGAGTGAGAAGCCTGACTCCACAGCCATGTCCTTCTGGTACAGAGCTTGCCCTCCTAATTCTCAATTTCCTCAGCAGTAGAATGGTGGTGATTACCGCACCAATTTTATCCGGTACAGTGCTAAATTCACCATTATAATTCATTTTTGATGTAAGAGTATATTAACCAGGAGGCTACAGGGCAGAATGACACAAGGATGACGTGGGAGAAAAAATGCAGGTCATCTCTGAATTAGCCCTCCTGCCTTAGAAGGTAATATTTTCAAGAAAAGCTTAAAAGGTCACTAATGACCTGCCAGAAGCCAAATTCAACAGATTTTTCTGTCCCAATCTTCCTCCAGCTCTCAGCCAATTTGATTCTGCCCTCCTCCTATTCCTTGTGTCCCAGGGCACTCCTCCTACCCTGAGGGCCACTCCCCAAGCCTCCACCAAAGTGTCAGAAGCTCTCTTGGAGAGGTCATTATGAACAAGGCCACTGGCTTTCCACACAGGCTGAGGTTTCTCAAATCTTTATCTCCAGCCCAAGTCTTTGTCTTGAGCTCCAGGCCTGAATCTCCAACTGCCCACTAATCCACTTGACCACCACACAAGCATTTTGGACTTAATCTAACCAAACCCAAGCTCACCATCTTCTCTCATTTCCCCATCTTGGTGGGTGTCACCTGCCAGTGAGTCACCCAAGTTAGAGACAAGGAAGCAATTCCAGATGCATTCCTTCAGTAAACATTGAAGTGCTTATTATGTGCCAAGCACTGACACTGAACACAACAGACAGAAAATCTCTGCCCTGCCCTTGCGGAGACCCTGAATGCAACTACATAAGAAAGTAATTAAGTAATGCAGTATTGCAGGTAGTGAGAAGTGCTAAGGAGCGCCAGGGGCAGCAAGGACACACTGATACCCAGGAAAGCAGGCTCAGGATCTACCTGGGTGTACCTGAATGAGGGCACGAGTAGGAAGAGGGGAAAGATGGGGTAGGGGTGCTCACAGGACACGGGCAAAAACTTTAGCAGAGGAGTGACAGGATCCAACTTAACACTGCAGTAGTTGGTGCAGATTTTGAACGCTGCCTACAGCCTCCGCCTGCAGCCCCACCTTCCCCCAGTCTATTCAGTCCCAAGTCAGGGCCACACTAACCCTTCCATCCCTCTCCAATTCACCTGTTCCTCTGGCAACTGCCCTGACTCAGCTCTCAGTCCTCACTTGGGGTTAATGGCTTCCTAACCAGTCTCTCTCAGCTCAAAGCACCTGCCACACTAGGCATCTATGCTCTTCCTAAGATGCCACCTCACTTCTTAGAATCCTCCTGTCCCCTTTCCTACCTTTAGGGTGAAAGCAAACCCCCGGACACGCTGTACGAAGCCTTTCCACGTCTCCCCTTCCCAACTCCACAGCACCACCTCACGGCTTCTGTCCTCTAGAACCACCACTCCCAGTCCCACCCCAAGTCTTCAAGTCTCACAGCCTGAATAATCTCCTCAGAGCACTCAGCACAGTATTTAACCTGACCAGCGGTCCTTGAGGAAAGTGACTACCCGGCATCCACAGCACCTGCCATTCAGCTGGTTCTCAGCAGACATTTAAGACCTTGCTTTCCTGTTCTAAACAGGCTAATCATTTTTATTCCATGCCCTGAAATTAACACTTCAAGCTTTCCTGTACTTCTGCTTAGGATGTTACTGATCACTTCTTTGTTATACAAAGTTCTAGTTTCTTATCATATTCCATTGTTTCCAGGTTATACAAATCCTATGTTTTATTCAACTTTTGACTTTTCTGTTTCTAGTTTTCTTTTCATACAATTATGTTTTAAGACAGTTTATAACCCCATACGGAAAGCTACACTGACATTTGCTTTTCAACATTATGAAACATATTTAAGAAGGTCTAACTTTTTTAAAAGAATATATGATTTAAGGTAACTGCAGGTGAGTTTTTACTTACCATAAAGTATTTAGGATACTGTGTGCCCCTCCCCAGCAGCACATTCTTGCTCCTTGCTGGCAATAATCACTGTACTGATTTCCATCCACGTCTTTCTTCCTTTATTACACTGTCTACAGTATTTTTAGAAGACACTGCCAAGCGAGGTGAAGGAGCCAGGCTGCAGTGAGGTTACCACCCTAGGCTGTCCACACCCCTCAGTAACACCACAGGGCTGCCAAGCTCCACTGCAACATGAGGTTGCATTCTTTGATGACTTGGAGAAACTGGCTCTTAAGAGACCTTACCCTCCCACATATAATCCCACACAATCTGAGATTTTTAATATTTAGTATCATTATACTCTTAGATATACTTAGGAAACAGAACAATGAATCAAATTTCCCACCTTAGCTAAGGCTTGCTGCCAGTCCCTAAAATAAATACATCCAGAACTGTAATAAGATTATGAGATTTAAGGAGGTTGCTCCAATTTCTAACAGGTTTTTCACTCAGTTATTACAATATATTCTGAGCTAAGGATTCTGATCAATGGCTTAGTCATGCTGTACAAAAAAGCCTTGAAATTTAATGCAAAGAATCAGAGAAACCAACTGCTCTTTCATATAGCAGTTTAAGTGGTGTGTCAGAAATTTTGTTATTCTCACACTTTTTTTAAAAAATTTTTTTCAAGTCCTCCTTATTAAACGCTCGTGTTAAACTCTAAATATGCTGTTTAAATAACGAAACAGTACAAGGCAGCAACAATACAAAAACTGTAACACAAAATTACCTAGATCTACAAACCTTAAATTATAAAACCATCCAATCCACCAGGCATTAATTTAACTTCTTTAATGCTTTATTTTAATTCTGGGGGGAAAGAGGTGCACCAAATTTGACAACCGAGTGAGTATTCCAGAACGGGGATGCTGCAAGTTCAGCGAGAGCACCTCCGGCCTCGGTGAACACTGTCGAGGAGACAGGGTTCCGCGTCTGGCTATGAAAAGAAAGGGGCCGTGGAGCAGGCGAGTCGAGCCGGCCTCCCACCCGCCTAGCCGCCGGTCGCCCGCGAGCATGACAGGCGCGTCCGCCCAGGGCGGTGCCGCCGGAGAGGGCGGGGGCCGGAAGGAGGAGGGAGGATTCGGACAAAGCGAGCCGGGCCGGCCGCCCCCTCCCCGCGCGACGCGCTCCCGGGGGCGGGCCACGTCCCCCGGCGGGCGGCTCCGGGGCCACAGCTGTTTCCGGGAGCGGCCGCCCCCGCCCGCAGCAGGGCCGGGCCGGGGGTGCGGGGCGGCGGTGAGATGGGGACGCGAAGGGGGCCCGAGCCTGGAGCGGACTGGATGGGGAGGGCGCCAGGGACGGAAGGAACAGACCCGGCTAAGGCCCGAGGACCGCGTCCCTGGAAGGGGCCCTGCGGGGCTCGGGAGGGACCCGGGGGCGGGAAGGGGACGCGGGTGAGGCCG